AGAGAGAGAGAGAGAGAGAGAGAGACGGAGAAGGAAGGGGAATAAAACACATAATCCAATGAAACCCTAGGTGGAGAACGCGGCCGTTAAAACCACCCTCCACGATTCCATCGTGCTACTAGCTGATTACATGACAGTTACATATAGGTCAGAAAATGAAATTACAAAGCCAACGTTATTCAAGGACGCGTGAAACGTATATTAAACACCGCCATTTATTCAGAGGTAGCCGTGATTCACTCGCATATCCATGAATGAAACTACATTTATTAAAGGGGTAAGATAAATTATCTAATCCTCTATACATTATTGTTAATGATAAGCACTTCCTATATTAGTAGCGCATCATAATATTTTAAGAAATAAAAAAATATGTGAAAAGAATCAAACAAACAAGCGGTACACAACAAGTTTAAAGAAATATTGTTTCCCTAGATTAAATATTTATCTTTTATCTGTAATAACGAATTTAGTTCAAATATACACGTTTTTCTATTATCTGTTTTTTTAGCCTACATCTATTTTATAGATAAGCTCTATTTTATAGATAAATAGTTCGAAGATAGTTCGAAAAATTCTCGACCTAACACAGAAATAACGCTATACATATCAAACTGCTATAATTTTAGACAAGTTTGATCTTAACAGGGCTACTGTTAAAGTTTGACAAATGCGTTCATTAGTTTTGTTTCGGTCGTATAAAGCAACCAACTTTTGATTCCATCATGACAATGCACCTACTCACACTTCTTCAATCGTAGTCACAAAATTGCATGAATAGCGCTTGAAATTGGTTTCATACGCATTGTATTCAGATTTAGTCTCGAGTGACTTTTATCTCTTTCCAAACATAAAGAAATGGCTGGCAGAAAAAAGATCGGTTTCAAATACTGAAGTAATCGATAAACTAACGCTTACTTTGAAGGCTTAAAAAAATCGCATTACATAGATGATATAAAAAAGTTAGAATATGGTTGGAATAAGTATTGAGTTGAAAGGAACTATTTTGAAAAATAAAAAAACTTTGCTAAAAATCATTCTTTCGTTTTGGTTTGAATATTTATCTTCCTGAAAAGCCGTAGTTAAGAAAAAGAATGTTATCTAAGATAGATTAGAAATTTAAAGTGTCATTTTCACACTTTCAAAAATTCGAGATGAAAAGGGCGAACTAAGCTAACTTCGCAGCCAGAATAGATTTTTCTTTTAGCATAAAGCTCTCTTCTTAGAGCCATTGTGTGTAAAGCAATGCTGAGTGAGCGTACTTGTACTCGCCACGATCCCATCTCGAAAAATGTCGTGCCATTTTAGCACTATAGTAGGTCAAGTTTTTAGAAAATCCAGGTGTAAACCTAGGTCAGCTCGTTCGCGTAATCATCTTCGCAAGAAAACGAGCGATTCACCACACCTGGCTCTATCGCAAAAGTTCAATAAAGTTTTCCTCCTAATAGACGTACCGTATACTGGAAACCGGACGTGCCGATAAACTTTGAGAATTTGAAACTTTATAATTCATGATGGACGATACTTGAATCCGATTACTCGTATTTTCATAAGTTGCCATGAGGAGAATTAATTCCTAAATTCTTCTTGATGTCTAAAGAATTTATATATTTTTGAAATATTTTCATTTAAAATCGAATAATATTCAGACGCTATTGTAATAAATCTGAATTATTATGTCATTATTATGAGAGAACACTCAAAAAAGATATTCTACCAATAAGCGGGAAATTTCTCTTAGCATTTCTTTTAAGCAAAAAATCTTACACGAATCAGCGCGTATATTTATAACATATAATCGTCTATAAAAATGAGGACACATGAGCTCTGATCAAAAATAAATTCCTTTATGGAAAATTCTATTATAATAACTCGAATAGCTTTTGAAATAAAAGGATACAAGATACTAGCGATATGTTTTTTTGTTAAAAAAAGTTTGTCATTTGTGCTATCGTAGCTACGCGCGCATGTCAATACATGCAAGACATTCTTTTAGTATTGAGGCTTGCAATCTTAAATCCAGCATCTTATGACTATATGAAATTTCTCTACTTTGTGGAGTATCTTCTTGAGGTTGTACATAAATGAAAAATCCTCTGACATTAACACGGAACCGTTAAACGGTAGAATATTTTTTTTTTTAGTGAATATATCGTGTTTTCTATACGATATTTTTAAGCATTTATCGATTTTAAATAAACGGCGGAAACAAAATAATATAATAATAATATAATAATTTTTTCTAATCGGTTTTTTAGGATTTTCCTTTTTAAAAAAATTTTCAAAAAAGAAATTTATATTTATAGAAAATATAAAATCTGTTTATAAAATCGTTTTTGCATAAGAAGGACTTATCCTCATCAATCACCTTTTCTGTCATCTGCTCCCTTAAGTATTGCCGTTCATCTTCTTCTGCACATTTTCTCTTTTGTGAAAGGTTGACACTCCTTGCTGCTATCGATGTGGTATCATTTACATACTACATCGTTATTTAACTTTGTTTTTTCAACGGATCAGATTTTAATTGCGGCAGAGACACTAGATGGATTAAGACAAAAGAACCTCGCCACGAAGATCGCTAATGTCGTCTCAGCAATTTTCAAGATAATTATCATATACGAAGCAATGAAGGTGTCGATCTTCCGAACCGAATGTTATGTTCTTTTTTCTTTCTTTTAATTGATATAGCACGATATATAATTTAAAAATAACTTTATCTTCGAAAGATGGAATATAATGAGCAGAATTATTATCGTTACAATAGAAAAGAATAATTGAGAGAAACGAATATAAACTACTCTCGTAATTTTTCAAGCAAAAAATTCTTTCTTTTATATCATTTATAAGAGTATTTTCATTATATGAAAAGAAATAATTCCGACTATATAAAAAAGAGTATATTAACGCTCTATCATATCATTCTAATTTCCCATTGAATATTCTTAGCAACTTCAATAATGCACCATACACCCGTAAGGAGAACATGGATACTCAATTATCACATCCACCTAATTTAGATTACCTTCTTTGTAACTCGTAACTACTTTCTCAGCACTCGCATTGTCTTCTTTAGAATTACGATGCGATCGATAAATCTCAACGATGCCGGACTATAGACATTCCGCTAAACTCAGCGCTCTTCTATTTTCACTGTCCGCTTCTTTGAGGCGAAGGAGACTTTCGCGGCTATACGACGAACCCTTTCGGGATCAAGTAGATGGGTTCGTTTGAAGTTCGCTAGAAAAAATCCGAAATTTTTCGCGCCGAGGTATCCGACCCCCGATCCTCTTTTTCTCTCTCTTCCTCTTCTGATTGTTGTATGGAAACTACCCGACACGGTAGACTCTCGGCGATAGCACCCTTGCCCTTGACTACAGAGTGCGAGAACGCTCGTCTGAGGGGTTTGTTGGCTCTCTCTCTCTCTCTCTCTCTCTCTCTCTCTCTCTCTCTCTCTCTCTCTCTCTCTCTCTGTCTCTTCCGCTTGTTCCTTTCTTCCTCTCTTTCTCTTCCGATAGACAAGGGCACAAAAAAGAAAATGAGGAGCAAAAGGGGTAGAAGACGAACGATGCAGGCGAGACACATGTCATCCTGCCTTCACAGCTTTCACTCTCTCGCTCTGCTCAATGCAATGTGCGTCCGTTCATGCATCCGTCCGCATGTGCGCACTGCATAGTTGCATGGCGTCGTCTCTCTACGTGCCGACGTAAAGTGAGTAGAACGCGTCGAGTGGAGGGTGCAGAGTACTCCGACGGTGCGTCGAGTGATCATTCGGGGTTGGATTGGTTGGTTAGTTGTTCGATTGGTCTCCGATCCTGTATCCTAAGAGACTCATTCATGTAAAGATCGCTGCTGTGTCATGGCATAACAGCAATTCACGAACAACGTTCATGTAATAGATCGATTAAAATGGACATATTTTCTCACATTTGTATATAATCATCGTCCGTCTTGTCTTAATACTCTGATCGAAACTGTGTTACCGCAAATATTGCAAATAAATTTGTAATAGGATTAAAATTTTGCAGAATGCTGAATGACACTAGGAAATATTTTCATGTAGTTTCCATACTCTGCTTCATGCGTTAATTGCTCTTCAGTTTCAATGGCATCGTTATGTCTCACGTTTACACGGGTTCATATCAGGGGATATGACCTCGAGTACACTCTTGATGTAATAGACATAGACTCGAAGCGACGTAATCAAACGGTGCATTAAATGCAACGTTACGACTGAAGATCGATTCGCGGAATATATATAGCGGAATACGATCACGAACGTCGTGCTACGTCAATATAAAGAAGTCATAGTGGACGCTATATTTTATCGTTATGCGTCGTATAATTAGAATCTACAAGTCGATAGCGAGAAACAAACCGGCGCGATACGTCATAAAACTAGTCTTTTCTAATTTGTTCATAAAATCATTGAAATTCATATTTCCTTTTCATTATTGTTATCGTGCAATAATATATAAAATCTGTGGTAATCAGTCAAGTTAAGTCGCTTTATGTCTTCTGTCGAATTACTTGAAGGGGATCTACAATTGAGGTCTAATTATAATTAATTAACGTGCATCATTTACAAATTAATATTATTGTATAGTTAGTAAATTTATAATATATTCGCCTCTTAAAATTATTATCAGTATTTTTCTTCGTTTTTTTTCTAAATAAAATTAAAGTTAAAGTTAAAAAGTTTAATTATTCGTGACGTATCTGATATATCAAATTCAAGTTGCAGATTCGAGGATAAAGCGGATAGGAGCTTCGTGAGAGTATAACGTTCTCGTAAGATATTTCATGGAATTATTAACGCATTCCCAGCCGTTGTAAACGCGAAAGAGAACACAGCTCTCTGCAATTACGACGCAAGACTTTAAGGAGAAATTTCCACGTTTCTAACTTAACTGGTATTAACACGCAGACCGCTACTTTCATAGATATTACACGCTCGTTGTACATCGTCTCAATTGCACACAGCTTAAAGATATGAAACATACCTTTCAGATGTTCTGGGGTGTCCGCTGCGCCGGCTCGCATAATGTCGCTCAGATAGTGTTCCAAAGTCCTCATGTTGTCTAACGGTGAGTTTCCATTAGCCGTCATACGATCCTAGAAAATATCGAAATATTATAAATCTTATATTCGTAATGACTCCTATATAGAGTTGCTATATCGAAAATTTCAAAACTAAAACTTACAAATAAAAAAAACCACCGGACATTTCGTTTGCACTCTCAGACGCATAAATGCATGTTGGTTAGTAAAATTAATCAAAACAATTCATTAAAATTAATTAATGAATAATTATTTCATATCTAATTGTTCATTACCAGTAACGTAAGAAATTTCTCAATCAATTATTCTTCTCACATTTGACTGTGATTGATCAATTTCTTATGGAAGGCTTACTGCATTTATTATAACTCTGGATTAATACAGGGTAGCGCAAAATATTTAGAAAATTTTTTAAAATCCTGGACGCTTGTAATTATTTCGGATGCTTTCGAAAACTCTTTCTAGATGCCCTAAAAAAGAAGATGATATCCGGAGAAAAGAGAATGGATAGTAAATCTACTTCTATAACTTCATTATTATTGCATTACGGGAACATGCTATTTTTTTAAACATCGATATTCAACAAGTAGAGAGTTCAAAATGAGACCTTTGAATTTTCTACTTGTTTATTATTTGAGAATCTTGTACTTTTATTAATTCATCAATATTCAAAGTAATTATCAGGCAAGTAAGAAATATGATATTATAAGTTATTAAAATATTTTAAAAGTTCATAATATATTTTACAATTACGTATCTAAATCTAGAATCTAGTTCTCCTCAAATCCGTAAATCTTATTTCGAAATGCGTTGGTAGCGAAATGTTTACTACTACTTCTTAACTTAATTTCACATGGATGATGCTCGTGAGCGATGATTGTTTTAGCTGACAAGAATCGAGGATATTCTCGCTCTAATATATAAAAAGTTATGCATAAAACTCCATAAATTTTCGATTTTTCAATTTCCATCGCGAACCATTTCAAGAGATAAGATGCTTCTGGTTAGAAAAAGCTTTCTAGCGGTGAATGTATTGGATGGAATACGCGTAAACTAGCAGCGCTCCCAGGAAGGAGGACAAGTGAAACAAAGAACTTGAAAAACGATAAGAGAAGTAACATTCCCAGTGGATGGAAGGAAGTATTTGCCAGAAAGAAGCATGCCACCCCCACGAAGAAAGAAAGTGCAAGGATAAAAGACGGGCTAGAGAAAGATCTGTAATAGGCCACTTGTAACGAATCGGGAAGTGCAGTTAAAGCGGTGTATTCAAAAGCGGTGTATTCAAAGTCTCCATCCCCGCCGTCGTCACACCCTTAATGCACATTCGTTTTCTTTCTTTTATTTCGGCTATCGCGAAGCCGAATAGCCGTGTTCTCGGCGAAAGTTTGATAAAACCCGACATGGCCTTTTTTTCAAACATCACGCCACGAAATTGTCGACATCCTCACGTGGAAGATTCAATAAAAAAAATTTGATATAAAAAAGGATCAGTCCCTTAACTTTAATAATCTTCTCTGCTCAGATCAGATTAATATATATTATATCCAGCATGTAAATCTTGATATACATATCATTATACAAATTCAAGTGAATTATGACACCATTTAATCATTCACGCTGATAGCGATTTTCTACCAAATAGTGAAAGATTATATTTAATAAACTATACTTTGAGTATTCATAAATTATTTAAAATATAATGAAAATTGTTATGTTAGATAATAGTACAATGATATTGATTAGGAATAAAAATATATAATTTCGATTTATTTACTGAATAGTGAATGATCGAATCATTTTAAGATTAGTGTAAAACACTTTTTCCATGTTGCTTGAAAAATGCTTGTCAAAAGTAATCCAAACGAGTACGTCTTCCTTGCGCAGCAATTTCTTTGCCCTGATTTCTTCTTGTGCATGTAGTACCTCGTAAAAGAAACAGACAAGGAGTTATGGGGACAAGAAATAGGCAAGACATGATAACGAAAGAGAACCGAGATCCTTTGAAGGTGACCAATTGAGAAGAACGGCCAATGTAACGAAAAATAACGGGCGGCACAGTGCAAGAGAAATATCTATTCGCGTAAATAAATGCTCCTCCTTGGAGCATCGCCGAGTGGACGGAACGTCTTGGAATGTCTGGTAGATATAAATGTTTCATATTTCTACATGTCCGTCCTTTGAAAACATCTATGAAACATCTACGAGCTATGTGCGAAGTTAGAAAATAAATATGCGAACTCTCAATAACACAAGAATAGAAAGATCTCAGAAAAAAAGATTAAATCCAAACTTGTAGAAAAATTTCTGTTTTTGCTACATTTCAGCACATTTAAAATAATTTATGTAATATCGCATATTAGTGTCATCTACTTATTGAATTAAAAATCATACATGTATGTAATAATTTACTTGATACGCAATATAAACAAATCTGTCTCGGCATATGATAATCTTCACCCGTCTCGTCCATCCTGGACCAATATTGAAATTTACGAAAACGCGAGTGGAGCGCATCCGTTCGAAAGAAAACGGCTGTGACACTTATTTGGTCAAACGTGGCGTGACATGAGGAAGAGGGAAAAAGAAGAGACGGCTATATTCAGGTATATGTATTGTACGAATCCGGAACGGAGAGGAACGAAAAGGGTGGACTCCCTGATGTCGAATAATCGTGCCCATCTTTCCATGCCGGCATAGCCGGCGGAGGTGCAAAAGGTGGCCCCACCTTCTCCTCAAACGCGTCCCCTTTGCACCGCCCGTGTAACCTTCTGGTCCTGATGTCTCTTCCTTCCTTGTGCATGCGGACCCCCTGGACCCCACCTGGGTACCAATCCGTTTCCCTCTCCCGGGTCGTTCCGTGCGCGCGTGCACGCACACAGGCGCACGCGCGCATCCACGCATCCACAAGCACTGGGCTCACGCGCGACACACACACACACACACACACACATACACACACACACACACACACACACACACACACACACCACACCTACATGCACACAGAGAGGAAACGTTTCTCGGCTCCATTCCGTCTCTTTCCAGCTCACGCGCGCGGTGGAAAATCAATATAGGGAAACCAGGAAGCAGCGGCAGGGCGTCGACAGCAACCTCCGTGCAGGCTCCGTCCCGGTACCACTCCTACTCATCGTCCCTGTTCTCTCGTTATGCATCCCCTCTCTCCGTTAACCCTCTCACGCTTCCACTCTTCCACTAATTCCCCATGTTCTATTCGGTTTTGCTTGGTTATAGTACTTTCCATACACATTGTTAGGGATTTTCTATGAAGTTATTCGTGCGACTGTTTATTGGCGATCGACAATACTGTCTTGACCGGGACTACGGTGACTACACTGCTATTTCGATAACCACCCCTCCTAGGACGACACTGCGCAAATTTTCCCCTACCATTGTAGAATAGATAGGTATGTGGGTCGAGGCAAGGAGAGGTAAGAAGAGTGCCGCGGAATTGGGTGATCCGAAAGGAGACCCGTGAGGAAAACACCGCCAGCATCGTATGTACTATGTATATGTCGGGAAACGCTAGTTCCCGTACCACGATGGGTTGTACATCACGGAGATGTATCTTCGGAAGTACAACTGGCAATTCGTTATCCCATCCGTGCAAGAGGCACATATCGTATATCTCCTCCGATCAAACTCGCGAATGTACATTGTATCGATGAATTCACGAGGCATCCAAAACGCAAGCGGATCCATAACTATCCTCTTCGATCGAAGACACGCAGTACGCACACGCCATGCAATTCTCCATCCAGTGCATCAGTTACGAGGGTTCCATTCGACCCAGAACTCCACGCGTCTCCATGGATGTGAGGTGCGCGCGATCGCGGTTGGCCCAGTTCCGAAGTTGGCTGCTCGTAAAAAGCAACGACACCTCCTCCTCGCTTGTGATCTTCATATATATATAGATATGTTATGATTGTATATGGAAGCGCGCGCTCGCGCACGCGTTAATACTGTCGTTCCTCTCTGCTGACCCACGTTTGCGAATGACCCGTGGCCTGTCATGGACACGTTCTGACCTGGTCGGGGATTGAATTATGGTGAGCGGAGCAGAGGTGCTGAATGTAATCTAGGAGTGGTCCAGGAACACGGGTGTAAACGCACGTAAATTTTCTAGGGGCTGACATCGCGTGTCCATTCCATTTTGCGCAGTCTCCGCGAGAACGAGACGGCGCGGGCGTGACGTAATGTCCGCACGACCGGTACGACATTCCCGGCTTACGTTCGTTGAGAAATGGGAGAAATTTTGTCACTTGTGTCGTTTTAACACAGATATTATCCGATACTTTCGCAAGCATATCTCACATGCGAAGAAGATTATCTCCAAAAAAGGCGTAAAGCAAATTCGTCTTTCTCTCAAACTCTATGTGTTTCGAAACTTTCACCACGTGTTATAGTGGTAACATAAAAAAATTGTATTGTTTGTATAACCACCAATTATAGAAAATGAAATGTACATTAGTAAATAAAGCAGGGCGCCAAAATGATATCCACACACGAAACGCATGAAAACCGCAGGCTGATGGCCCATCAAATGTTCATTAGGATACACTTAGAGAGTATTAGGATCTTACCCTAGATAAACATGCGATTAATTACGTGATAAATATATCGATTTACGAAAGGGGATATAGGAAAATAATGTCCGGAAGTAAGTTGGACGATGATTAATTTCACGAAGGGCAAATAAGACCGGGAGGGGAAGAATTAGAAGGGGAAAAACATAAAAAGGGAAGAAACGCGTGAGGGAGAATAAATATATATGCAGACGCTTTTGAGTAACGCGTTTTACGTCGTAGTCCCGTTTAGTCTAGACAGGAACGGTTCCAACCCACCAAGACTATCCTTGCCACCTTTTGTGCAATCCCCTTTTCTCTTGCGACACAATGTGTTATATTCCACCCTCGCGACTTATCCGCGTTATTTTACATGCGTTTACACGTGCGCACATTTGTATCCTGCATTTAATCCGCAGAGCGAGAGTAGTGGCGTCCTCATTGTGATAGTTGGAATATTCATTATTCCAG